TGATGAGGGGAAACGCTGCACTGCGCTAATGTATGCATCCCGGAGTATAAGGGGAGACCTGCTAGACGACAAGCTGGGGAAATCTTCCCACTACAGGTGGCTTTTCATCACAGTCTCTTTCATTCTCTCCCCCTGAAGCCCCCACCACTCACCTACGTAACTAACACAGTTTCCAATTAAGAGTGTGGGAGCGTGCCGACATGGGATATTACCTTTGATGCAAACACATGCTCATTCACGTGTGCTGTGTCTAAGTCGTCAGTCTCTACACCCCGTATGTGTTTTGAATGTCGCTTGAAGGGGATATTGAATTCCTTAAGTGACAGGTCAAACACAGGCTACTTAGACTGAATAATAAAACAGGTGGAGCATAGTGACTTGCAATATTGTTCTTTTGTGCTTTCTTCTCTCTTTTTTCACAACGCACTTTCCTGAAATCTTTTTTTAAAGAGGCCCTAGGCTCATTTTTAGGCTACGTTTGCATTTTGTGCCTCTACTGCAGGGGTGTCAAACTCAAATACACAGTGGGCCAAAATAAAAAAAATGGGTACTAGTCGAGGGCCGGACTGGTTCAATGTTTATTGCAAAACTTATTGAAATGAACTTATTGCACATATTAAACCTGGAACTAACAAAGCTTAAATGATTGCCTATAAAAACAACATTAAACATTAAATAATCAGTTGCATTCATTTCTTATGGCTCTATCTGCAGCTTTTCCGGAGTCATTTCTTATGATTACAATGAATGCAACTGATTATTTAATGTTTAATGTTGTTTTTATAGGCAATCANTGTCCGTCAGGAAACAAGCTGTTAACAAGTAGTTCCAGCAAACATCCACTGATAAACTGCGATGTTAACAACCTCATGATAACCTCATATGTTTTTAATTTAGGATCATACCTGTGTTTAGTCTAGAAAAAGGTAAATGTGTGCATTTTATTTTAAAGTTGTGTATATTTACAGACTGTTGCAAAAACTAAGAAGCTTATAAACATCAGGTTTAAAAAAAAAAGAAGAGCTTTTCAAAAAAGTAACACAAGTAAAGATGTTTGGAGTTTTATTTGAGTTATTAATTTGTATTTTTTGTCTAAGAGATGCTGATTTGAAACCGTTGTTACATACAGTTACGGCATTTCCTGTTTCTGCCGGAGAGAGGGGAGGCCGTCCCAAAGCTTGCCGCTGTATTTACTCCCTCCATCTGACCCTCCTCCAGCTGAGAGTGTCACTCCACGGAGTTCACTCCATCACGCAGGGGTAGTGTGTAGGGGTAGGGCATGGTATAGGATTGGGCCTGAGTGTTTGAGCCTTGACTTGATGCTTTTATTGAGGATGGTTGTCATGACCACATCTGTTATGTACTATAAAATTCATTGACAGATACAAGTCAAATCTGTCAGAGGTGAAAACATATTTTTTTCTTCAGAACTGGTGGGTTAGTTGGTTACAAGAGATCAATCCGAGACATTCATACAAAAATTGCTTGCACACGTTTTAGAAGTCAATACAACATCAGATTCAGATCATCATCATCGGATCAACTTCAGATTCTGATCTCTGTTTTTGGCTTTTTACGTTACTGGAACAGTTTATGTATCACCAAGCTCAATGTTTCCAAATGTACTTAATTCCTTGAGTCAGGAAGTGTCAAACCAAGCTTAGTCAATTTAGTCCAAATGCAAAATAGATAGTCATTTTGAGTTTGGGAAGACACCAAACAAAACGGCTTTTCTTTTCATGATCATTTTCAAAATAACATAGTAAATTGTCAGGTCCCTAAAGTACCCATGTGTTAATACTTACCGGCAAGCCATAAGTCCATTTTCCATTTCATTTACTTCAACTCGTCTAATTTAGGGGGTATTTCCAGTATTGCGAAACACATATTTCTCTTTTGCAAAGATGTTGTTAGACAATGTTTTTGTTTCTTAAAGTGGACCCATCATGCTATATTTGAATAATATATTGTAGGGCCATACCTATATAAAACATGTATTTTTCAAAATACCAAACAGATCATGCATTTTAGCCATGCCTCATTTCGCTCTATTTGCTCTTTTTTAGCCCTGTTTTTGCAAGGGCTGAATCTGTAGGAAGTCTTCTTCGCTGCTTTTGTGGCAGACTACAGCGCCACCTACAGGCCTGGCATATGTACTACAGCGTCTCCAGCGCTTTCGAACGGCAATGACCGTGGCTGTCTCCTCCTGATAGGTGGAGAGTTGCCCATATAGGCGGAGCTCCTCGTTTCTGACGTCAGAGATATTTCAAATCTGGATCAGTCTGTATCAGATCCGTTGCAGCCCCGTTTTTAGAGATTTGGGTATGGAGGAAAAGAGAGAGGGTTGTGTTGTCTGACACTTGGTGAGTTCCCTGACACACCGGGGACACATATTCATGTATAAAAGACGTACAAAAGTGCATTTTGCATGATAGGTCCCCTTTAAGCCTTTCCTGAATATTTGTATTCAATAAATGTACATTTGCACAACTGTTTGGTTAAGAGGCATGAACATATTGCACAAACAAGTCCTCTGTGTACCACAGTGCAGACCGCTTAAAGACCTTTGCTTCACCTCTGAAATAGTGTGGAATATAATTAGTTAATTGGACCTGTGAAGACGTATTTTGTATTCATGTTCTCTTTCACCCCTTGTTTCTCATTCACACCATATATTTACACACCTAGTTCTGACAATTTAACTGCAGTCCTCTGCTACAGTAATCCAGGGCTCATTGTATGGCTTCAGGATTTAAATGCCCTTTATGCAGTCAATGTTGACAGTGGAAAGTCTGAAGGATTTTGAGGCAGACTAATGAGAAAAATCTTCCGCACAGCAAGAGAGAGAGGGAGGAACTCCATTTCCGTCCTGCCAGGGCTTATTTCCAGTCAGTTACATCTTGACAGTAGATTGAGTCGCAGTGAGACGCACTTAAATCCGTCTCCACTAAACAGGTGTGCATTAGCCATCAGAGACATAACAAACCACCACTGCACTCTACCGTTTGACTGATCAATTTCCAAGGCTACTCCGCCTGCCTTTACCTTTTCGGCAAGGCCTAAGTCAGAAGAGAGCACAGTAGAAAAGACAAACCACAGGAGTAGAGGCATAGAATCATAGAAAGTGCCTTTTATGCTTTTTGGTTTCCCTTTCCTGTAGTGTGGTTTGTGTGCATGCAAATGGCTAACATCCCAAAGTTCACGAAAGAGGGAGTTTCTCTCCCACACACACCTCCGTGCCTGAAATGCCTCGATTGGACTCCTTTGTTTTCNCAGGAGCAGCAGCAGGGAGATGCTGAGGATGTCTCTGATCATGATGTCTTCACCCTCCTCTCTCAGACCGACTGAAGACAACCAGAGTCAACTTAGAGGGGAGGAGACAGACATGTGGCACGTTCATCTTGAATATATAATGTAGAAGGCAATACAACTTATCAAGACGAAAAAAATCATGTACTGGTTCCCGCTTCTGGAATCTCAAGACTGCTTTTATTTTTTCAAATAATTGGTCTGAATACGTTTTGTTGGGAAAATACTGAATGTTCCTTCTATATCAGAGTAGCACATGATAACAGAGGCCCTACGTAGCTGTGTACGTAGCCGGATGTATGACTACATGGACGACGCTCATGAGACACCGTTGAAGTTATGATAGCTATGTTGCTAAGACTGGCATGATGACACAGCCCCTAGAGCAGGGGTGTCAAATTCAAATACACAGTGGGCCAAAATAAAAAGTGGGTGCTAGTGGAGGGCCGGACTGGTTCAATGTTTATTGCAGAACTTATTGAAATGAACTTATTGCACATATTAAACCTGGAACTAACAAAGCTTAAATGATTGCCTATAAAAACAACATTAAACATTAAATAATCAGTTGCATTAATTTCTTATGGCTCTATCTGCAGCTTCTCCAGAGTCATTTCTTATGATTACATTTTCCCACAGGCCAACAGCAGCTTCAAAAAAACTTTTTCCCTCAAAGAGAAAATCAAACATGTCCTGTTGTCGCAAGAAGAAAAGTGCAGAAGGAAACATCCATTAAACTCAGTGTGCTGCTCTGTGATGCTAGCTCAGATACTTGGCATCTCATCTTGGGTGCAAGTTCATCAATGTTTGGGGTCAGGCTCTGAGCTGAGGAAATGAGTGAAGGTGTGCGTGCAATATACCGGCGGGCCAGATCTAATAGTAATTAGAAATTATCCTGCGGGCCGAAATTAAATCCACCAAGGGCCTTGAGTTTGACACGTGATTTAGAGTGACATGTTGACATGCAAAAAAGGTCTTTATTTAAGTTACTCATACTGATTGTTGTGATTGGTTAACCGCTTAGACGTCACGTACAAGGTGTTGGAGTTCTAGCCAATCGAAGCGCAAGTGTTACATAGTGACGTCACTATGTTAAGGAAGAAAACAAGGAGTCCAATCGAGGCA